AGCGTCTAGATTGGCACGGACGCTTTTCCGCAAAAGCACTTTTTGCGGAAAAGCGTCCATGCCAATCTAGACGCGCTTTTCCGCAAAAAAGCCCCGATCGCCATTTTCGTGATCGGGGCTTTTTTTGCGGAAAACATATCTGGGCTGTCTACACTGGCTGGCCCTTTTGCGCAAAAGATTTGCGCAAAAGGACTTTTGCCCGAACGGGAGCAGCACAGTATTTCCGCAAAAACACTGACAATCTTACATGAGATCGTCAGTGTTTTTGCGGAAATTCAAGCGGCCAGTGTAGACAGCTGGCAAGCTTTTCCAGAAAAACGGCTGATTTTCCGGAAAAACTGGCCAGTCTAGACACAGCCCCTCTGTTTAAATTTACCACTTACTTTCTCTCCTAGCTGGGACTCACCTTTGTTTAAGCCTGGCCTACTCTCTAATTTCAGTCAGGCCGCATAGCTAAGTAGTGACCCACACAAATATTTTCAGAGTCTGTGTGGGGTAAACACCTAATACCCTGGACCTGACTCTAACACCCTTATTATTCTAATCCTGGAGTCTCACTTAAGCAGAAGGTTTCCATCATATAAAATGCTGCAAAGGTGTGTCGACTATGGTGAGATCAAATTTATTTTCAATTGTGAATAAAATTTCAGTGCAGATGTTCAGATTTTGATGCCATGCTATCCACTGTACTGAGAAGAGCCTGTTTTTTGAACAGTGATTTGTGGCCAAATACTCCATCACACCCCACTTGTTAACTGCATGAATTCACATTAGGGGAAAGAACACAAATATTTCCAAAAGAGATACCTCAGTCTCTCATATACACTAAAAATATTAATTTAGTGTTTGTGTCAGACTCACAGACTTTAAGGCCAGAAATCATCTAGTCTGACCTCATCCAATTACCTTTGTATTGAGCCCAATAAATTGTGTTGGACTAAAGCATACCTTCAAGAAAGTAAGCTAATTTGTATTAAAGAAATAAAGAATGGAGAATTCACACTTTTAATGGTGGCCTAGTCCTTGCAGCAAGACCAAAAATGTTTATTAAATTGCTATGTTTGAATACTCCAACCTTATTATTCACATTAACATTCTGCAAAGTGACATTAACTAGACCAAAAAAAATGCACCTCTTCAGTCACTCATTGCCAGAGTATTTCACTCCAGAGCCTTAACAGATAAACGATAGGTGCACTTACAAAGGTTCAGTGATTTTGTCTGGTTAATACTGACTGAAAACTTACCAGAATTATCTAAACTTTTTGGGTCTCTAAAACTGGGATGGTGTTTTTGTGAGTGTTCCAGGATTTTGTTCAAGTCCATCAGAAAATATCACAGGAACACCTTTTTCCAGACGAAAGGAGGGGAAAAATGAAAAAGTGAAACAGTCATCTGAACTTTTGCAGGCTTTAATAAGAGTATAGTTTGAGTTTCAGGTCAAAGATCTGACTGAATCAATTGCTTTCTCACTCCATTTCTAATCAACATTTATTCACTTACGAATGGTACTCATTAATAACTACGTACAGCATGTATAATCACCAATAAGGTCAGGCAGCATGAAATGATATTTAAGGCAAGAAACACTGAACCTCTCCCAAAGCATTCAAAATATACTGAAAAAACTATTCTACACCATCACTGGGAATAAGAATTGATCTAATTGTTCCTGCTCCTTTTCTTTTCTTCCCAAGCCACATAATGACCATGTGTCCCAGCCATAGCTCCATGGCAGAATTAGGCTCTATGACTAAGGAGCACCAGTAGAATCCTGCTGACATGCTACCCTCCCTCAGTAGCAACTTCATAGCACTGCCAACTACTCTCAAAGGCAAATCTGTGATCCAAACGATAACCTCAGTTAGCCCAGTTTAACAGTGATACAACTTCATTGACTTTACTAGATTTCATCCTGATTTACATCAGCATGTTCAAGATCAGTATTAGGCCCTGTGACTTCACCCCTGCCTGCCATGCGCAGTAGTGGGAGATGCAAGAGAATAACATTTGGGGAGGTTGGCATTCATGCACAGGGGAGAGGATGCTCCCGGCTGACTGAGTGAAAGTTAGCCAGACACTGATGGGGCCAAATGACTCTGCCTTGAAGCATTGTTTCTGGCTCTTAGGGACAGGACCTAAAGGAATACACATCCAGGAAAATCAGTTCAGGGGCAAAGCAACCCAGCTGATCACACAGTTGACAGTCTTACATTGAACTCAGGGAACCTCAGCCACCTTAGGCATCCTAAACACCCGCAGGATGTTCCATTTGCTATAACCCCAGGAAAACAGTAGCCTCCATAGGGTCCTACTGAGAATGAAATTGAAGATTATGCAGAGGCGGGAGAGGCAATTTGCATGAATTACCACAATGCTTTTGCATTCTGAGTCTCTATCACACAATATCTGAGCTGACACTATATGTTCCTGGTAAGCTTTCCTGAATTATAATAGCTTCAGTATGTGAATAAAGCAGTTTGGCCCACAGTTTCTATATGCATTACCAGAGGACCTTCCAGATTTGTCTCTACAGTCATATGCGTTGAACCACAAATTCTGAGTAGATTTGAGAAAAAACAAATGGATCTTATGAATCCTTCAGTTCTGTAGTCCTTTCCCAGAACTATGCCCAGTGCTGTCAAAATGAAGTAAAATTATGCTTTTCAGTGATTAAGTGTAATGTTATTTCAGGAAGTGAACATGTCCACTCTTTGTCAGCATGGCTTTCTTGCTTGCAGTGTAATTTATGCTATGTATTGTGTATGTTGTGTGAGAGTGTGTGCGCTTTCCTCTGGATGTTTATACTAAAAGTCTGTAGTGTAGGACTAAACTGTATGTAAGGTACTTGAGCTTTACTATAAATCTTGTGGTCTTATCGTAGCTATTTCATAATTATCTTTACTTTTTTGTATCAAAAGCTCACATCAGAAGATTAAACTGGCATATACATCAAGATAGACAAAGATTTGCTCTTTTCCTAGCAAATGAACGATGCCCTCACTGTATTTATTTTAAGCGAATATCTATGTTGTTCTCATCTACAGTATATTTAATTTTTCTACGATTCCATTAACTTTGACTATTTATTTAGCCTCCACAGTATTTAAGTTTCACTGAAAAGTTGCCTTCATGGTATATGTACTAGAAAGGAACAAAAGAAGGTTTTATTAGCTTACCGCAGTTGTCTTCATCGGCCTGGTTACCACAGTCATCCACACCATTACAGTGAAGTAGTTGAGGCAAACACTTTGTTATATTGCCACAAGGGAAATATCCAAGAGGGCATGTAACTTCATGTCCAGAATCCTGATTTTCCGAAGTACAAAGAATAACTAATAAAAAACAAAACAAAGAATATGCTTTCTTCACACATGTTTTCATGCTTAGTTGAATTGCTCAGTTACATTTGAATGTAAACCTCCTAATTACAATGCATTTTAGTTTGCCTTGTGTGTAACTAATGCAGATTGAACCTTTCTAGTCCAGCACTCTCTGGTCCAGCACCCTCTGTGGTCAGGCATGACTTTTAGTTAGCCAGATGTCCACTTATCAAGGGTGTGGCTAAGTTTCCTGTACAGGAAGTCCCTGGGTTACGTGTCGGATCCCTACTTAAGAACGGGGTGAGGGAACCCCGAACTAGCTGCGCCCCCCCCCCAGCAGACCGCCGAGACGCGCCGCGGCGATTCCGCCACCCGCGTCCTCCGCGGCGAGAAAAGCTGCTCCGCGTCTCCCTGGTCTGCTGGGGGAGCCCCCCCACCCCGACAATGACATCGGGC